GACCGGCGTCGCCATAGCACGGACCAGCGCCCTACCACGGCAGCTCGATCTCTGCACATCGAACAAGGAAGCAGAGGTCTTCTTTGAGTGTTGTTTTTAATTTATTTTGAGTTCTAAAAATTTGACTTATTTGAGTGTTGTGTTTATTTTGTTAAGTTAAACAAGTTGGACTATAATGACAAATAGTGGTCCATTTTGCAAAAAAACTATGACTTTGATCTCACACAAAGGCCAACTATATAATTTGGAAATAACAACAATTTGCCTACCAACAGAAAATAAATGATCAAGCAATCTATGCGTAGTTATCCAAGTTCACCGCGCCAGGCCCTTAATTCTGAGGACCAATTGGTCCAAGACATTTTCGTTTATCATGCCCTAGAACTTTGCAGATGGAAGACCGCCTTGGCCCTCGCAGTGGTCTTCCACTTTGATCCAACTTGTTATAAATCCTCTTTACCCTCAACCGACCTGGTTCACGACTTAGTCCGACTGGTGGGATGATCACTACACTGGCCAGTAAGCTTCATCCGGCAATGCACAAAAACTCCTTCCATAGCAGCTTTTGAGTGAGACGATGTTGAAGAAAAGACTCACGAAGTGAAGGAGGTCTTTACTCCCGTGCTTGATTACAACCATTGCATGAGAACACGGTAAACCTCTCCCCTGATACTTCTGGCAAGAGCACTCTCCTCTTTTTGTTCTAAAGTTGACATTGACTTCATGGCGATGTCCCCCAGGTATACCATCCTCCTTGTGCCTTGTCGATCTACTGAATACTCGCCAACATTTTGATTCATAACGGTGACCTTGTGTCGACTGCTCTCTCGATTGTCTTTGTCCATTAATTATGTTTATCATAAGGGACCTTACCTTGTGCCTCCCTCTACGCAGCCCAGTAGTCGATTGACGAACCATTGGTTTATTTTCCAGTATGTCATCTCAACAATGGCAGAGATTGGGAGTTCACGAACAACCTTGTAGACGTTGTTGATACTCTCACTTGAGTTTGTTGTGGCAATACCCCACCTGGTACCTCCGTCCTTATGAAAATTCCACATGGTTAGCTCATGTTGATTTAGCCAATGCGCACCTTCAGGGCATAGCTCACGGATCTTCTGCTATTTCTCCTTGAATTTCTTCTCTTGGTAGGCAATAGTTGATGAATATACAAAAAAAGCGCAAGGTAAGTTGTAATTCGTATTGGTTGTTTCAGTAATTTAAATCAATACAAGTACACTCGTCAGACTCTTAGGAGAGGTATACATCTTATTAGAAACACCGCCTTTTTTACAGAAAAAGGGGGAATCCGAAGATCGCTTAACACCTTATTTTCCCAAGAAATGGGAGGATAATGATTATAGCTTAAGACCCCATTTTCTTAGACATGTATCTCTTTATAATGATTCTAAGGAAGTATTTCATTGTATTTCCTATCATATTTTCCCAGTTAACAAAATTAATTTACATTGAAATTATGTTTCCAATTTCTCTTGAAGTGTCGTATGCACCACCTGTGTCACCACCCCCAACTGGATCCAAGCCTAAGATGGCATCCCTGATCCCTGCGTGGCGATCAGAGATGATTGTTAGGTTCGTCTTCCTGGTGACGTGGAGTTGAATTTGTCAGAAACATCATCCATAGCTTTCGGTATTCTCTCTCCCAACAAGGCTAGAGGAAAGACACCTCTGTTTGCATCCGCTTCACTGGCGATGAGTTGAGTACCCTTGTACTTGCCGGTAAGGAATGTTCCATCCACTTGCATCACAGGGACACATAAGGGAAAACCATCAATATATGGATTGAATGACCAGAAAGGACATTTGAAATGGCATTTGTTATTGGGCTCTGGTGGCTAGATTTCTTCATCTTGGTAGAGGAGGGAGAAAACCATTTCAGGGTTAGACGCCTCCAATGCCAAAATCAATCTGGAAAAGAATGCATATGATTCTTCCTAGTCACCAAACATGGCGTCAATTACTTTCTGCTTTTCATGCCACGTCTTCTTATAGTTTATAATATGTCCATAACGATTAGAAATGTCTGCGATGATGGCTTTCACCTTCAGCTCGGGCTGTTACTCAATTAGATGCTTGATATTCGCGTCGTGGATGACACACATGTGTGAGTGTTCACCGCTTGGGATTTTATGGATGACACACATGTGTGAATGTTCACCGCAAGAGATATGACCCAATGGCCGAATCTCTTGCTCTTGATGACCCAAACCCTAGCCTTGCATCCCTAGTGTTGATTTTGGCATCTCACTATGAGCATCTTCATGTCGGAATGAGTTGTGTGTCATTCAAAACTTTGAGTCATTGCTTCATTGTCAACAGCGTGCCGCACCTCCATTTTCATACCAAATTGTTGGTCCTTCATAAACCCAGTGAGTGGACCCCATACCGACACCTCTGGCGGCTCCATGTCGGCATCAACATACCAATTTTCATTTGGAATGTGATTGTAGTACGGGATAGATACATGGTCACGAAACACCTCATCATCATTTAAGTCTGAGTCTGGTCCTGAATCATCCGCACCTTCAAGACTGTCGAAGTTGTCTGCACTGACATCGCCTTCCTCTTCTTCATCCTCAGGGTCACTAACTTGACCTGGTAGGACATCTTCCATTAGATATAGATCGTGAAAGGCACATTCATCAGCTCCGTAATGGTAGTTGTGATAACTCATGCTGCCTGCATAGAAGTTGTACTCGGGTTGGTACTGGTAATCTTCTTGTTGTTGTCATGTACCCTTGGGCTTCTTCTTCATATGATAGGAAGGATTGATAATGACATCCACCTCCTTCTTGGTACTCATGGTAGGAATGAGGATCATGGCAACCTCCTCCGTGGATACCAGATGTTTGGCCATCTCCAGAATGACCTCCGCCGCCTTCGAACGCCTCGGTGTAAACAAACATCTCTATTTTGGAAATGTTATTGGCGATAAAAAAAACGACCATAGCATCAACGTCCAGCTAAGTGGTTATGAGAAATTCCTCATGCCACAACGACCCGCCTTATTATTTTTGGATATCGATACACCATAAGATCAACTCTTCTCGTGTCATCCATGCAAGTAACCTCAATACACATTTGACAGAGCTCTTCAAGGTTCGGCCTCATAGCGACCTTCACTTTATGAAAATTACCACTGACGTAACGTACCCCCCTTTTCGGTCTCTTTCGTATAACCATTCCACCGTAACCCAAGCGTAAACTTTTGGAATGCCATATGCAATAAAACACTAACTAAATTAATATCATAAAATTTGTCAGCGTTAATCATAAAACAAACTTACAATAAAAGGTAATATAAAACATACTTACAAAGTAAAGTTAATCGCTAAAACTCAAAACACAAATCGCAAAACTGAGACTTAAAGAAGAATAGGCAGAGTGGTGAAGTGTTGAGGTTTTCGGGGCTGGCTTTTATAGGAAAAAATGTCAAGTGAACCCCCCCCCCCCCCCCCCCCCCCCCCCCCGCGCGGCAGTTTTCACCAGACATACAACCCCTGCATGCCGACATCTGAATGGGGACTACACAAAAAATGCTGAGGGGTGTGGTGTGTGTGTCGACTCAAAAACCGCATGCTAAAGGAGAGGTTTCCATTGTCGACGTAGAACCGCTCCTTCAACAAGCGGTATGTTTTAGGTCAGCCATTAAACCACCTTCAGGAGGGGCGGTTTTTACAAATAATTTAAATCCCCACCTCACCATGTGGTTCTCCCACAAACCGCCTCCCCATGTGGCGGTTTTTAATCAATGGTGGTATTTTTGGAATTTTACGAGTTGGGTGATATTTTTGTAAAAAAAAAACAGTAGTATTTCTGGAAAAATTGCGCAACAAAACAACCCATATAGTAACCCGCGCCCATTATACCTGGGATGCCCAAGAAATTTGGGAGGACGGGCCACCCATCTTCTTAATCCCACTGCTGAATGCTGATTGTAATCCTTGTTGAGTAATAAAATTATCCTAGGTGTTCTATCAAAAAAATATTGTTAATAACCAACAAATTATTTATGAAGCAGTGATAATGTTTTTGTATTTCATTAATAATACATTGAAAACGTTTAATGATACCTCCATATACGTTAATAATGTTATTTTAAATTGTTAGCAATTGTCCAAAAACGTTAGTAATTTAATTAAGGTAAATGCCAAATTTGGTTACTGAGTTTACTAAAATTAGTCGTTTTTAACATTCTAGGACATTCGTTCAAAACTGATGAGATATCCTTGATAATGATTTTGTAAATATCCAAAAAATTATTAAGGAAGGTAAAGGCTGGCCAAAAAATGACAAGATATTGTTAATAATGCTTTTATAACGTGACATTAGTTTAGTTATTGGCCATTATTAACATGTTTGTTGTTGACATGTGCATCAATTTGGTATCCTAGTCAACTTGTCGTTAACCTAATTGACATGGTCTATAACTCTGTTGAAGGTTGTAACGCAAACGACTAGATTTGTCATCAACCATCAAAATCTTGATTACTTTGTATATTTCAAAAGTTATAACTGTTACAAACGTGAAAGTGAAAGTTCTAATTATGGAAGTATATTTTGCCTTTTTATTTTTAGAAGTCCTTACGTCCTTTAGGATTGACATCAGAGTTCGATTGTTGCAGAAGCAATATACATGACTACTGCATAAAGCATATTCGACCGCCAAACTAAAAGCGCATAAACAGATATCGATCCATTTTCTCCTCCAAATTTCAAAACCTGTCTAAGATTTGCTTAAGCCAAAGAGTGTTCATAGCAGCGTCAAAAGATGACCAAGAGCGCTTGTCTTAACAATAACATTCAGACTTGAATAAAACAACCACAAAAGTAGGGTACAAGAGCTGCATCAAATAGACAAATACCATAAACTAGATAGTACATTCGGGAGGGCCACCGTGAATTCGCTCAACTTCTCAATAAAACCGAGAAGGGGTTCTGCCCTCAATCACATTACAGAGTTGCCCTCACCAAAGCTCTCATTCCGGATCAGGCGAACCACCAGGAACCAGCTGCAAAAGAACACATTGTTCAACATTAATGCTGAATTTATCGATAATTTGTAGCACTACTTAGGCTAACCAAATAAGCCTATCTGGTCAAGTAACAAATTTCCTTAACCATAATCTGAATGACAGATCGCAAATGAAGCAATCTGAAAATCAAAGCAAGATAGTTATAATATTTATATTCTGATTCACTGTACCATAAAACCAAATTAGGGACATGAATCACATGATAGACTCCAGTTCTCTACAAGTTTACATTCAAATCAAATCATTACGGACTATCCAATTATACTCGGTGCATTTAGATTCATGGGAAGTCCATATAGTAGTGTGTCATTAGGACAGAGTGGTGAAGAATGCATCCTAATTATCAATCCTTGTCTGCACTGATAAGGGAATCAATTAAAGGGCCAAGATGCAGGATACAACCTTCTTAAAGGTTATGACATAGCTCTCCCAAATGGCACGATGGACCAGTCCCACAAGCACTGCCAGAAGGCAATGACACACAGAGCAAAGCTGGTAATATATTTTAACTTACAATGGCAATGTTGTTTCCATTGAGCAATATCTGGTCAAGCTTAGTTATACGCCGCCCCTCTGAAGTGATTTCACTGGGGAAAAAAGAGGAACATTAAAGAAGCAAATATGAAGATGTCAGTCTCAGAGTATACAAGGGTTTCTCAAAGGGAAGAGCATGACTGGCAGAAGAAAGGGAGATCATAACACAATGATGTATTACTAACATCACAATCCTCCTAAGACGAACAAATAAGAATACAGGCTTACAACTAAAACCAGGCCAAACTGCGAGAGGACAGTACCCAAGAATTTGTGAAGATTAACAAAAGTTTAAAGCATACCAATAGTTGTTTCAGAGTAAGAGGGCATTTGTAAACATTCTTTATGAGCAAGAAGCTGACGATAAGTAATAAACCTATCACTCAAACCCCCTGACTCGTACTTCACTAAGATTACTAAATAACAAGGATATAATTCTGAATGTTCTCTACAAGGATTGTAAAACCGTACCGACAGTTGTGTCGGATAATTCAATGATAGAGTGTTTTGTATGTAAACCGTGGTTCAACTATTTCATACCGGTCAAACCATATACCAACTTGTGCTCCAGTACAAGATTTTTCTGGTCGCACCGCCAGTACTGTACGGTTTCACAAACATTGGTTCTCTCCCACACGTAGCATTGCAGCATCTAACCCTTTCCTACGTGTTCTACAAAACCCAAAAGTACCGAGCAAGATCATACAAGGGCACAACCAGATCAACAAATGAGAAGTGGAAGTGGCCAGCCACGAGTTCAAAATCAGGGAACTGCAACAGATATAGACAAGCCACAACCTGTAATGCCAATTCAAAAACTCAACCAGAAAGACTGAAACCTATAGTGCCTATTTGACCCCAAACCCTAATTCCAGAGAGCAGGAAATAGCAGCAAGAAGCGGGCAACTCACTATTCAGTGACGTCTTCGAGGACCATGTTAACGTAGACATCGAAGCCCCGGAGAGTGCCCACAAGCTCCTTGTCCCCTTTCATTATCACCCATATCTTGGAACCTATGCACCTATCAATCAGCTCTGCGGGTTGGAGAACCAAACGGAAAAATCAGTCAGAAAGAAAGACAACGGAAGTAGCTTTTCCTGACGCTGCCGTCTTCTCCAGGCAAAACTAAACAGAGAAGAAGGCAGAAGCAAAGAGTAAAGGGGCGGACCAGAGGGGAGCAGCTGTGAGGGATTGTTGGCCATGGCGGTTCACGAAACAGGAGACCGTGGCAATTCACAGAGAGCACGAAAAGCAGAAGAGCGGAAGTCCAGTGGGCAGTGGGGAGTTAAGGGGGCCTCGGGTAGGGTAAAACTTTGGTTGTGCCATTCAATTTTAAGTTTTAACAGATCTGAATAATCGAACCGGTTTATGTCGGGTTTCTAAGTCCGGTCGGGGCACGGAAGGTTTTGAATGCTAGTTTATATATATTTTTTATTTTATGGAGTATGTTAGTTTAACCAAATATTTAAGAAATCATTAATATTAAATAAATTATGCATATATAATATAATATATATTAAGACCGTTTTCATAAAATTATATCGGTTGGGGATATTAATAAAGGAGCCCAAGAAGAGCCTGTTCGGATGAAAGCAGCCCAAGGCAATGGGCTAGGAGAAGAAGCCCGCAAAGCCCATCCGGAAGAGCTTGTTCGAGTGAAAGCAGCCCAAGGCAATGGGCCAAGAGAAGAAGCTCGCAAAGCCCATTGCACTCCAGGCCACATAGGCATGGAGACAAGGCACTGAGGGCCAAAGAGATCCAGAGGGGTCCAGGCTGGCAAGTGGTCCCCCGCCTGTGGGCGCCTGCCAGCCGTCAGGAGCCTGACAAGGTGGTTGGGGCTTCTGACAAAAGTGAAGGTACAAAGCATTTAATGCGAGGGTGACGTGGAGGAGATCCACCTCGAGCCTGGTGAGTATAAATAGGGGCAGTTGGTAGCATTTACACAGGTTGGACTCTCTCACTAAAAACTCTAGCTCAAGAAGCACTTCTCTCTCTAAGACACTGACTTGATCGTCGGAGGGCTAACGGGCCCAGGCGCCCCCTCTGTGCTCGTGTGTGTAGGTAGACGCTGGACAGAAGGAGCGTAGGTGTGTCGACAAGGCATCGAGGCTCAAACAATTGGCGCGCCAGATAGGGGAATATAACCAAGAATCATGAGTGAGGAGGCGCCTATAAGTGGAGAGAGAGAGAGGAAATTACGGAAGAACAGTCTGGGTGGATGAGAGGGCTGACGCCCGAGATGGACGGAGGCGAGGAAAGTAATGGCATGTTTCGAGGGTCAGAAGGCGCCTCGGTCACAAAAAGGGAGCTGTTTAGGATAATCGAGGATCAGGATGAGGCGATCGAGGCGCTTCGGCGGGAGGTTGACGCCTTGAAAAGAGGTGAAGGGATGACGCCCAGCCCAACTTCGAAGAAGAGGGAAAGAGTGGCGGAGACAAAAAGCGAGCCAGGGCATGTGAGACGTCCAAGCTTGTGGCGCCCAAATGATCGCGGTGGGCTGGACGCCAGTGGATGGAACGGGGGAATTCTGGGGCGCCTATCACGCAACTGCCCCGTGAGGCAGCCCCTGGCGCGGAATATACTGATGGAGCCCACAGGGACCAACATCCCCCCACTCCCAACTTACGACGGGACAGCGGACCCGGATGATCACTTGAATGGATACTTCACCAAGATGCAGCTCTCCAATAGCTCAGACGCCACCCTGTGCAAAGTGTTCCCGTCGACCTTTGCGGGCGTGGTCCTCGATTGGTATCACCAAATTGAAGAGGGGCGCATTGACTGCTTTGAGCAGTTTGCGGCGAGGTTTTTGGCAAAGTTCGCAGGAAGCGCCGCTCCCTGACCATAGGCGCCCTATTCAAGGTGAAACAAAGAGATGGGGAGGCGCTGAGAGAATTTTATGAAAGGTGGCTATCAGTAGCCCTTGCAGTGAAAGACGCCCAGCCGTCAGTGTTGGGAGTATGCCTGAACGAATGTACCACCAGCGAGGAGCTATGCAGGGCGCTTGCCAAGAGGGACGTGGTGTCCACAGAAGACTTGGATCACCGAGTGCAAAAGGTAATCATGCTCGAAGAAACCTTGGCGGTCAGAAGGGCAGATAGGCAGAAGACGAGGGGGGAAGAAGTTGAGATGACAAGGCGGCCACACCCCCCGAATGGTTCAGGGTATGCACCACCCATGAACCACCCCCCACTAAGGAGAATCGACGCGGGGCGCCCGACTCCCAGGGGGGCGGGAGCCTTTGCTGAATATAATGACACGCTGAAAAACATACTCCAGCACATCAAAGAAAAGGGATATCACATCAGATGGCCAGGCCCCATGAGGCGACAACCCAATGAACGGAACTTGGACCGATATTGTGATTTTCGTCGGGAGGTGGGGCACCACACAGCCGACTATTATCAATTGAAGACCGAGCTGCAGGGCCTGGCAGATAGAGGGATGCTTAACGACTTCGTCAAGAAGCCCGAAGGGAGAGTGCACCGGGCGTGTGTGGCCGGCATAGAGAGAGCGAAGGAAGAGCTGCCACCCCCGCCCTATGACCTCGACCAGGAGAAGGCGCCCGAGAGGGCACGCCTTACCATCGAAGCCATTTCGGGGACGATGGACTTGAGGGAAAAGGTAGAGGCAAATCGCAGGTTGAGAGCGGCCTCTGCCGATGTGCAGGAGGCGATCGATATCAGTTCAATAGGGCGCCAGAGGAAGCATGCATGCTCCCGTCCATGGACGCCCTGGAAATACAAGGAGTGGGATGCAAAGTGAGAAGGATGCTTGACGACAGGGGAAGTTCAATGGACGTGTTATTCAAGGACACGGTGGCTCGCATGCAACTATCGCCAGAATTGATAAGGCCATCGGAGTCGGTACTAGTCGGCTTTTTGGGGGCGCCCACCAGGGTGATAGTGCGAGTGCGCCTGCCTGTTACCCTGGGCGACGGGGAGCAAAGGGTGACGCGCACCATTGACTTCGGAATAGTAGACTGTCCATCGCCATACAACGCAATCCTGGGAAGACCCCTCCTGGCCTTGTTCAACGGGGTGGCCTCTACTTGTCATCAAACCTTGAAGTTCATTGCCCCACAAGGAGTAGGCGTAGCCCGGGGACGAGGCGCCCCGCGTTACGCAAAGGAAGTGGGGCGCAAACGAAGGTGTACCGATGCAAGGGTCAATGTGATGGAGACCGTGGCAGAAGAGGCGCCCCGAGCTGAAGCCGCCGACGAAGAAATTTTAGTGGCGTTAGACGAAGGGCGCCCGGAAAGGCAGGTGAGGATATCTTCGGAGGCGCCAGACAAAATGAAAGAACGCCTCATCGCCTTTCTGAAGGAATTCGCGGAGCTTTTCGCATGGAGTGCTCTGGAGATGCCGGGCGTCGAGCCCGAAACGGTCGTTCATAAGTTGGCAGTCGAAGAAGTCAGCGCCGAGTGCAACAAAAGCGCGGGAACCTATCACCGGAGAAGGAGGCGGCGCTTAGGGTCGAAGTGGACAAGCTCCTGGGCGCCAACTTGGTCGAAGAAACTGCTTATGTTACTTGGTTGTCGAATGTGGTCTTCGTGCCAAAGCCGTCAGGGGATTGGAGAATGTGCGTGGACTATACGAGCCTCAACAGGCCCCGAAGACCAGCTGGTAGATTCCACGGCATATCATAAGATGCTAAGCTTTTTTGACATGTTCTCCGGGTACCATCAAATCCCCATGGCACAGGAAGACCGACCAAAAACGGCTTTCATGACGCCCTTCGGTAACTTTTGCTACCGGGTCATGGCATTCGGGCTCAAAAATGCGGGCGCCACCTATCAGAGAATGGTCAACTACGTCTTTCGCAAACAAATCGCTCGTAATGTGGAGGCCTACGTGGACGACTTGATAGTCAAAAGTCGTAGGCGTGAGGATCACTTGGAGGACTTGCGGGAAACGTTCCAGGCTATGCGGGCGCACAGGCTTCGTCTCAACCCTCTTAAATGTGTGTTCGGTGCCGAAGAGGGGAAATTCTTGGGATTTATGATCACCAAGCGAGGCATCGAAGCCAACCCGAAGCAGGTGGAAGCTATCCTCAGGCTGACACCCCCAAAGACGCCCAAAGAGGTGCAAGGCTTGGCAGGAAGGGTAGCGGCCCTTGGGCGCTTCATCCCATGGTCCGTAGATAGGGCTGCTCCTTTCTTCCGGACGCTGAAGAAGGCGGTGCGTTTTCAATGGACTACTGAGTGCGATGAAGCGTTCGAGGAATTGAAGCAACTCCTAGCCGCCCCTATCGTAATGATGGCGCCCAAAGCGGGGGAGACGTTATACCTTTATTTCGCCGTATCAGAAGTCTCGGTAAGTGCAGTCCTCGTCTTAAGGGAGGCCCCCTAGGGAGAAGACAAACCAGTATACTATGTCAGTCGTACCATGGTCGCCCACGAAAGGCGATATGCACCTATCGAGAAGGCCGCATTGGTAGTTGTGATGGCCGCGATCAAGCTGAGGCCCTACTTCCAGGCGCACACCATCGTAGTGCTCACCAACCTTCCATTGAAATCCACATTGGGTTCAATGGATGTAACTGGGCGCCTTGTCAAATGGGAGGTCCAGCTAAGTGAGTTCGACATTTGGTATGTGCCTCGGCCAGCGATAAAAGCCCAGGTCTTGGCAGATTTCGTCGTGGAAGGAATAGATGAGGCAGAGCATGGGGTGGATGACTGTTGGCAAGTGCAGGTAGATGGGGCGGCCAGTCGCACCGTCGCCGGGGCAGGTATTGTAATTATTAGCCCAGGAGGTGCAATGCATGAAGTCGCATTACGATTTGCAGCCCTAAAGACAAACAACGCCGCGGAATATGAAGCGGTTTTCGCCCGCATGAGTATGGACAAGGAGTTTGGCGCTCACAAGGTCCAAATCAGGTCCGATTCGGCCCTCGCCGTTAATCAACTTAACAGAGTCTTTGAAGTAAAGGAGGAGGCGCTGGAAGGGTACGTACAAAGATTTCGAGAGCTGGGAGCCTGGTTTGGGGAAGTCTCCTTTGTTCATGTTCCACGAGAAGAGAATGCCCATGCAGATGCCTTGTCCAAGCTAGCAACCGCGGTGGATTTCACGGAAGAATGGAAAGTCATAGTCACCGTCGAGGCGCCCCATCAACATCTTGTCGCTGCCATATGCGACGTGGGCACCCCCTCTGGTTGGATGGCGCCAATTGAGTTGTTTTTTACCCATGGCGTGGTCCCCGATGACCCGAAAGAAGCCTGGCGCCTCCACCGAAAAGCAGCACGGTGTTCCATAGTCGAGGGGAAATTGTACAAAAGGTCTCACGCGGGAGCATACTTGAGATGCCTGAACGAAGAAGAGAGTAGGGGGCAATTGAAGAGGTCCATAGTGGAACGTGCGGCATGCACGCAGGGGCACGAAGTCTGGAGAAGACGCTACTAAGGCAAGGTTTTTACTGGCCGACGATGAGAAGGGACGCAAGGGCACACGTGGATGCTTGCCACCAGTGCCAAGTTCACGCCAACGACATTCACATCCCGGCGGCGCCCATGCAAGGCAACGTGGGTGCCTGGCCGTTTGCTCAATGGGGCATGGATCTCCTAGGCCCATTCCCCAAGGCGCCCGGGAAGATGAAATACTTGATAGTGGCGGTCGAATACTTCTCCAAATGGATCGAGGCAGAACCTTTAGCCACAGTCACAGAAGCCCAGGTGCGAAAGTTCACCAAGAAGAATATATTCACTCGATTCGGCTTTCCTGAGTCCATTGTCACAGACCACGGAAAGCAGTTCGATTGCAAAAAATTTGTGGAGTTTTGTGATGACAATGGCGTCGTGTTAAGATTTTCTTCGGTTGCTTACCCACAAGCAAATGGTCAAGTGGAGGCGGCCAACAAGAGCATCCTCCATGGGTTACACACCCGGTTGGCAGGCGCCAAGGGTAAATGGGTTGAGGAACTGCCAAATGTGTTGTGGGCACATCGCACAACTTACAAGACTACCACCGGGGAAACACCTTTCGCCTTGACCTATGGTAGCGAGGCAGTTATCCCAGTCGAAGTCAACATCCCAAGTTACCGTGTTGTCCATTATGACCCAAGCGGCAATGACGAGGCGCGAACCAGCGAATTGGACATGGCAGACGAGTTAAGGGAGGTGGCACCAATCCGCTTGGGGAAAATAAAGCGACAAGTGGCGCGGTACTACAACAAGAAGATGCGCGCCCATGGCATCACTGAAGGCGCCCTGGTCCTCAAACGTGACTTTCGCCCAGACGCCCGCGAGGGAAAATTGGCACCAAAATGGAAAGGCCCATATCGAGTCCGGGAGGTGGTAGGTCCTGGAACGTTCAAACTAGAGCACCCTGACGGCAAGGTGGTGAAAAGAACATGGAATGCGCAAAACTTGCGACTTTATCGGCAGTGCGCTGCAGCCAAAGGGGGTGCCTTCCCTTGACCATGGTCGGCGATTTTGCAAGGCAGTAATAGTAGTAAGTGGTTGTTATATGGTAAGTAACTGTGTAAGCGCGTTTGTATCGTGACTAAAGCGCCCATAGTAATAACGTCGTATCGTGTCCAAAGCGCCCAGTGTTATAGCGCCCCCAATAGTGACTTCATGTTATGTCCACAATTTTGCACTAGTTAAAGCGCCCAACTTTGCGCCCAATGACTCAGAATGATTGTCTGAAAGCTAGTCGCACTCATGATTAGAATGGCAAGGGAATACCTATTAAAGCGCCCAATGAACGCGCCCCTAAATGCGCCCACAGCTAGCGCCCCCCTGCGTCGAATCCTACAGCACCTACTAAAGCGCCCGATAAATACGCCCCTTAAAGCGCCCACAACTAGCACCCCCCATAAACGCAGAGTACAAAATAAAACCAAGGCATAGCAAGGATTCATTAAAAAGTCAAGAAATTTAAAACTTTGGTTGTCCATAGTACTCAACAATATTAATTAAATTACACAACAGAGAAAATCACAAAAGATGCCTCATTTGGCCTCGGAGGTAGCATCCTCAGTGTGGGGAACTTGCTCTTCGGGGACAAGAGGCGCCTGGTCTTGCGGGGCTGGGGGGCGCATATGCTGCCATCGTCGCGGGCGCCCTCCCTTCCTCATCTGTACCCTCCATATCTTGAATCACGTACTCGGCCATCTCAGTCACATCCCAGACTTGGTCTGGATGGTCTTGGTCGAGCTTCCTCTTCAGGATATTGAGGCAGGTGAGGCAGGCGTTTGCGAACAAGTTTTTGCCGGCCTCAGACTCCTCGAATGTGTCGAGAGAAGTCCTTAGACTGGCAATCTCCTTGCGGGCAGCTTTCAGCGCCTTCTTCTTCTCCATGTGGGCGTCCCGGAGCCTCTCCTTCTCCTCCTTCAGAATATCCATCTCACTGGCTTGGGCGCCCGCCTCTTTTGACAACTCCTCCTTCTCCGCTTCGAGCTTGGCCACCCTCTCCAGCAGGCCATTCCGTTCCTCTTCAAACTCGGCCTCACACTTGCGGCGCTCCTCCTCTAGGGCGCCCGTCAGCCGAGACAACTCTAAGACCGCCTTCATCTGGGCCTATTCGGCCTCCTGCGCAAGCTGCTCGCGGCGCCTGGATGCAGTCTCCAAATCGTCCTTTAGAGCGGACGCCGACGATGAGGCTGCAAGTGCCTCTTCCTTGGACTCCCACAGGCATCGATCGCCCCTCTCCGCGAAAAGGAGGATCTGTGGCAACAAAACCAAGGAGTTAGAAAATAAAGTACGCATGATAAACTTGGAGAAATAATCGGGACAATGGATAATTCTTTACCTTAGCGCCCACTTGGGCCAGCTCTGCATACATATGGTCGCCACTGACCTCCGAGGGCACTTGCCACATCTTCGCCGCCGACATGGCCAGCCCCATGGCGCACCCCCTGTCCACGGCAGAGAGAGGGGAGCAAGTCAGGGCGATGCGCCCAACCTCCGTGCGGAGCGGCTGCAACACGGGAGGGCGCCCATCCTGCCCCACGTTGAAGAAGTTGTCCAACGGCACCACGTTGAAGAGATTGAAATAGGATTAGTTTAGGATTTTTTCGTGCTAATTCATGTGCATAATTGTTAGAATAGCTTCGATTGCATCTCTATTTGGTTCCTATTTGATCATGATGTGATTTTAGGTTGGTTTATACAATACATGCGAATTAAATACTGAAAAGGGCACAAGTTTAGCGAAACAGGTGCGAACTTCATGAAGAAGCCAACCAAGGAGAAGCAGAGAGTTTCCCCAGTCTGATCACAGTCACTATTCACCATGACCGCGACGAAGTGTGCGGCCGCGACTCACGAATCGCAACCATGAAGTCGGCTCGCAATCTCCCCGAGTTTGAAGACAAAAACGACGATGCCCGAAGATTGCGTCTCACTGATTACGAATGATAACTTGGAGAAATGACCACAACCAAGATATAATGACAAATTGGCATCACTGATTAGCCGACCCAATTTATCAGTATGGTTTTCTAGATTAGAATAGTTAGGTGTTGTTGTCCCCACGGTAACAGGAGCATTTCCAGAATTGGCATGCAACAGATCATGTAACATATCAGGCATATCATTGTCTAAACCTACAGTGTCATGCTCAAAGGTAGGTTCATTAGGCTTGTTACTACTATCGGCATAGTCAAAAGACTCACCATGATGGATCAATGTACTATATGTCTCCACCATGCCATGCCTAGTTATATCATCTTCCACAACCACCAATTTCTTGAAGTTTTGATTATTGTAGTGTTTACAAGGGCATCTAGTTCGACATAGCTGGTCAACATGTTTAGAGGCAGGCCCTATGAATTCCGAATCCCCCTTTTGATATTCATCACAAAACCTATCCTTGAGCTTAATCCAATTTCTACTCATTCTGACTATGGAAAAAATATACACTGGCCTTCACTTACGAAGCAGCGGGTTAAGATGGAAGCATACAGTGAGATGAACGAGAAAAAGGATCTGCAGAAGATAGATAGTAGAACATTAGGAAACAGTAGACTTTAAGTAATATGGTTACATCCAAATGAAACACAACCCTCTTTTCTTACCTTTGCCTGGTGCTTGGTGCGCCTTCACTCTATGCACCTTGCACAATAGGATGTTAAGAGGATCAAGTAATACTGTAACAAATCCCTATCATATAATTTTTTGTTTTAGCGTCGCATACAATATTAGCTGAAGTTTGTGAAACCAAAGCAACTATATATCCACTATAAGTACACCAGAATCAAAGCAAAATCATAATCATACACTGTAAGTAACTACATATCCATTTTGGCACTTGAACTCAAAGCAGCCACATTCCAACACCCAAATCATGACATAACCATACCATCTATTACAACAGAATTCATAACCTTGGGAAATTCTCTGAACTCATACCAGAGCATGCATTTATGGCCCATACCCTCATACATGTAATTGACAAAACATAAATGAAAAGATTGTAGGCTTTGTACCTGCGTTGAATCTCGATTCCTACTGATAGGCACGAGAATCTGATTATGTATCAAAGGGGCAGAAGTCAATCACATATTCATAACAATCGAGGAATTCAAAGGAAATAAAAACCTTAAATCTTACCTTCGTTGAGTCCCAATTGGTTCCCTAGACCACGGGAAATCAGTTCTGGAAGAACGGGGTTGATGTCAATCACTCTTCACTCACAATAAACACATCATAAACAATAGGGGTTGTGGATAATTACCTGAGCTCAGTATCGATTCCTTCACCAAACCACCAGAATTGGGACGCCTATTTTGACAAAAGCATATGTGACACAAGAATTTTGTCACATTACCAACCTACTATGACCAACACTAATGACAACACTTTAGCTTGTCACATTAGGCATCCCAAATAGGACATATTTTAGTTTTGTCATATTACACCTTCTCTTGTGACAAACCTCAGTGAAAATTTTTATGTTTTGTCATAAAAGGCCGAATTTGTTGTAGTGTATCCTAGACGGTGATTCGAAAGTGATCTATATCATGAATGTCCTTCATGGAAGGATACCTTGAAACAATTGAAGGTAATAGTCCCTTTCTTAGATATGGTTATGAAGATTAAAAAATATACTAAATTCAGGAAAGAAATATTTTCAGGAAAGAGGAAAAAGGAAGAAGATGCTATGGTATCCGTTAGTGAAGTTGCTTCGGCATCCATCGGATGTGAAGGCTTCCCTCCAAAATTAAGAGATCCGGGAATCTTCATTATTTCATGCACCTTTGGAGTTAAACCCATTTGGAATCCGCTAGCAGATTTGGGGTCTAGTATCAATACCTACAAGAATATACAATGAGTTCGACCTTGGACCACTCATACCTACTAAAATGATGATTTAGTTGGCCAATAGGTCCGTTCTTGAGCCAAGAGGAGTCATAGAGAATTTCTAGGTGAAGTGTTCCCATTTTGGTTACCTTGTAGACTTTGTGGTTCTCGACACGAAAGGGTGTGATGCATCAATAATCATGGGCCGACCATTCTTAGCTACGACAAGGACCATTATCATTGTGAGTGGGAGCAAGATCCCTTTAAGATTTTGAGATGAGGAAATAAGCTACAAGATGACTTCAATCCCCAATTTTCACAAGTATTATAAATGGGAAGATGTCAAGATGGATTGCAAGCCGCTCACACCTACCACACCGCCTTCCCTAGATAGAATGGTTCAATATGGTCTCTCATGTTGACCTTCATGTTAGAAGAGTTGAAGGTTCGAGCGACTCTTGCGAGATTATGAAGAGACCGAGTAAAGAAAAGTTCCCTTACAAAAGGGCTAATCAAGAGTTGTTCAAAGTTTCTCATCAAGCCAATGATCATAGAAGGAAACTTAAAAGATTCATCTTTGAAGAGAGATACCCCAAGGAAGGCATTCGAAATGTTATGAGCAAACTAGCTCCTATTTTCAAAGATGAAGAATCCGTGGAATGCTATTAGCCATTCACGCATGAGGAAATTTATACAAGGGAGATTAGTTCTTTCAATCATGAGCACAAATCTCCGGATAATGTCATTCGAATTGCATGTACCGGATAAGGCATCCGAGAGACTCCATGTCTTCACTTGGGACTTTACCACAAGTATGATTTCTACGAAGAATCGTCGGTGGAGAATGGATCTCTTACCTCTTGATTTCAAGGCGTCAAGTCCGACGAAAAGACTTCTAAAGACGGCTTGTTGGGAGGCAACCCAACAACACGGTTTGCGTACCTTTTCCTTGTTCCTTTTGAATAATTGATTAAGTGGAGGATTATAATTGCGTAGATGATGATTGATAGGACTAAACCCTTGTCTCGTCTTGTCTTTGGATGTTTGATTGATTTAGATAAATGATTAAGTTTAAGAAGTTGGTGAAAACATGGATTTTGTGTTCAGGGCAAAGATCGTAGTTGTCATGCCAGAGATCGCGGTCGCGATCTCGTGACAACAACCCGCAATCTTACCATGCTTACTCAAGGGAAAGGTCCACATTTCATCCATACATAGTCTCTCCATTACATCTTTTAGATCAAAATACTATGTTTCTTCACCCCTCTTAGCTTGTTGAGCTTTCGTTCTCTACTCCACTCTCCAAAATTGATAACACTGAATTTGCCCATGTTTTTACCTATCACATGCTTTTATTCTAGGTTGTGTTCATTTTTCATATTTCAGATCCTAGCACGTAAAATGAAGCATAGGCGCAAATTTCAAGTCAAATGGAGATCAATTGGCAACTCGAGGGAAGAAACTGGGTCATGACCCAAGGAAGAATGGATTTATACATCATTTTATAGACAAAGAATCATGTTATCAATACATGAAAATAAAGAGGACGAGACTACAAGCGTTTGAGACCAAACAATGACTGATTTGGAGTTCGGATGAGGGAGAAAGGACCGAAAGACAACGACGTTTACAAAGATACAGGTTACATCACCTGATACACCACATGCTTGTGACTTGAGACTCCACCTTATCAACGAGAACCTCAATTTTAAGGAGGTTCTGGGGTGTACCAAAACTTAGGAGCCACCGTCTGACTCATGACGTAAAAGAAGTGCTTGTTGGGAGGCAACCCAACCAGTTGGTTTTCATTTCTTTCCCTATTTCCCTTCTATTGATTCTGTTTTTTTCTATGATTTTAGAGTTAATAACTCAATCTTTGTGAGATTTTGCGATGTTTATGTTCCGAATACTCTCTTTCCTCCTGGAATGCATCGCCTTCCCCTTCTACCATCATTCACACTTGATTTGGTAACTTCATTCTACCCTCCCTATCTTTCCTTCATTGAGGACAATGTCATGCTTAAGTGTGGGGGGATGTTCCATTGTGTTTGCTTGTGAATGTTTGGATGTGTTTGTGTGCTTGGAGCCTAGTCCACTGTCCAAATCTTTGATTTGAGGGCTCCAAGTACGGATGTTTGCATGATCATATTGGCACCGTGGTTCATGTGTTGAATCGATTAGCAGTTAGCATTGATGCATGACAACTTGTTTGTGACTGAGACAACCTATAATGATGACTGAGACGTGCGGTAGAGTTGTGTAGGGGTTCATCTTTTCAACTATTTGCTTAACAACTGAGACTTGGATTAATCACTCATTTTCTACAATTGTTTATGCATCTAGTTTAGAGAATCATAATGAGAGATAGAGCATATAGGTATGTGAGATTTGAGCCTGCTCGTTTCTTTCTTGTGCGATAGATCCCTCTTCCATGATGTGTAGCATTCACGTTGTTACTAATTAGGATGATGGAGGCATAGGATTAACCTATGACCAAATTCACTGTCCTGGTGTTTCATACCTCCTAGTCAGCCCCTTTGAGCCGTGTAACTTTCTATTTTCGATCTACAATGAAAAATCACCCTTTTGCATCTCTTTGAGGTTCCATAGAGTGTTCTTTGCATGTTTTCTGTTGGAAATAACATGAGGGTTGGAGGTAGTTCTTAAAAATTGGGCATGTGCTTGCAAGGATAAAATAATTTGCTGAAGTGGTGGTTCTCTCAAGAAAAAAAAGAAAAAAAAAACAAATGAAAGCAAAAGAGAGCCATCACAAAAATATAAATCATGCTCATTACATAGTGTTTCTCATCAGCCTTGCTTGGAAATACTAACATGTTGTA